GGCACCTGGGGGGGGGGCCCGGACAGTTTGCACCATTTGAAAGGCAACAATCAGTTTGGCCGCAGAAAAAAAACTGTTTTAGCCGGAACGCGAATTCAATCAACGTTCTGACGTATTTGGGGCAACGGTTTGATTAAATCGTCCATTTGCTCCGAACCGATTGCCCAACAGTTAATTGTTATATCGTTATTAATTAATTAGAAGTTGAGTGCAAACGGTAATATCGAGGCGCAATTATCAAGGATTTACGATACGATCCGACTGATGTGGAAAAATGTGCACTTTCATTATTCCACGTTGAAAAAGGTCAGTGTTTGAAATGGTCCGGTTTTTGCACCGCCACTGGCCTCGATTCCCCAGGGAAAAGTCTGAGTCCGCCAGCTTTTGTTATGCGTCTTCTCAATCCATGGATTGAGAAATTTCTCAGTTTCTCACCCGATTTGCCTCTGGAACCGGGCTCAGTTGCCATTGCCACGCGCTAGAGAAAAACGACTCGATAATGTCATCAGTAGTGTTTCTCGTTTGCTGTTTCTCAATCCACTACCGGAGAAATCGACTAGTTTTTCGCTTGAAAACCCTTGAAAGTTGGGCAAACTTGTCAGTGTCTCAGTAAATGGTGTTTTCCAGAGTTCTTCTTGATTTTCTCAATACCCAGATTGAGAAATCAGCCAGTTTCTCACTGTATTTGCTTCAAGCACGCAAAGTTCAGAGATATTGAGGGCAAAATTCTGGCCCCCTTTTTCACGTTTTCTCAATACTCAACCCRATAGATTGTCTGTTCTGGATTTTCTCAATTTCCACTTTGAGAAATTGATCGGTTTCTCACTGAAAATTATTTTAGGGAGCGAAAATAGACTGTTTCACTGCGAGCGAATAATCAACAGTTGTCTAAGGTCATCATATTCCGTCTGCTATTAGATTTCTCAATACCCACATTGAGAAATCAGTCTGGTTCGCACTGATTTGTGAGGACATTGTCAATTTATCAGCACGAGAARGTTAAATGGGCGCCCAGCGACAACACATGTCTTTAGTTTCTCGATTTCTCAATCCCAAACCAGCAAAATCTCGGTTCTCAGTTTTTGCGATTTAAAAATAAACGTTCATAGAACATTTGGCATGTTGGTTCTGATTTTCTCAACACCCATCCTGAGAAATCGATGAGTTTCTCGATTTGAAGTCGAAGTCAGTGGTTCTTTTGTTTCTCAATCCCTATTTTGAAAAATAATTACATTTTTTGCAAAGCGTGCTCCCAAATCTTGAAATTCGCACAACAGCGGGTTTTAAATGCCTCCAATAATCAGGAGAATTATTTTTTTGTGCTTAGATTTCTCAGTACCCATCTTGAGAAATCAAAGCATTTCTGCATGGATTTGCGTTTAGAAGTCGGCCAAGGAATTTTTTTCGATTTACCGATATGCAAATGATGCACGAGCCAGAAGGAACAATCATATATATTCGGTTGTCAAATTTCTCAATCCGGAAATGGAGAAATCGAATAATTATTTCCAGAAATGCTCCCAACCCTAAACAAATAATACCGATTTCTTATAGTGCGATTCATAAAACGTAGTTTAAGAGCAATTTTTGCCTGCTGTATTGGATTTCTCAATACCCGTGCTGAGAAATCAATTAATAACTCGATTAAATTGCTTCAAGAACATTGCAAAATTGGGAAAATGTTCAATTTATCGATGCTCGAATGGAGCGAACGGATGCGTGAACGAAATAATCGATTTTCGTTTTTCGATTTCTCAATCCGTAAGTGGCGAAACAAATTTTCTCATCAAAAATGCTCTCCATGTTCATACATTTTTAGTGTTGTGCCTAACAAAATCCTTTTTCGCAATCGTATCTTCCTTTTCTCGATACTTATTTTGAGAAATCAATGCGTTTGTTGCCAATCTCGCTCTGAAATCTTGAAAGTTGCGCAAACAGGGGATTTTATATGCAGCCAATAATCAGTATACTTAGATTATTAGTTTTTGATTTGCGCTTGGTTTTCTCAATGCCTATTTTGAGAAATCACGGAATTTCTGATAATTTCTCAATCCGTAAATTGAGAAATCGACTATTTATTAGCAGAAATCTTATACTGTGATTCAAAAACAATCGTCTAAGAGCAATTTTTGCCTGCTGTGTTGAATTTCTCAATACCCATTCTGAGAAATAGATGAGTTTCTCATTCAGAATGCGCTGAATGTTTTCCCGTGGAGCAGTTTTGGAGTGGTGCAATGTTAATCAGTGGTGTGGAGTGATAGTTTCTCATTCATTTATGGTTTTCTCAATCCCAAAGTTTCGAAACCACTGCAAGTCACTGCAAAAATCGGGGGTTTGCCGCAAAAATAATTCCGCTGGCCAAGTCGGGCAACAGTGTGGCCTCACGCCAATGTACCAAGTGTCCCAAACAAATGCATCTCAGTGAGAATAAAGTCAATTTGATGCTCAATTCGAATTTAAATTAATTTTCGGTATCGGCGCTGCTAAACAGGAGAAAGCAAATAAACGGCTCAAGTTTGAACAATGAAGATTAAAAGTAAACAGTGGGCCACAGTTTGCAAGCAATGAGAAGAAGGGGGGGGGGCGATGTTGCCATTGTCAGTGGGAAAAAAACCTGCTTAGAAAAATTGCCGGTCGAAAATCGCTTTCGAGGGCATTTTTATGGGATTTCTGCGCAAAACAGCCCATAAATCCATGGACAATGGGCGCGCATCGTCCGATCTGTCATCGGAAAACAAAAGACGCTCGTTTTATTTAGATTTTTTTTGTTTCCATTTCATTTTCCTCCTCGCCGGATTTTTCAGTTATTAATTGTTTTTTCACACAACCCCCCC